CTCTCTCTCTCTCTCTCTCTCTCTCTCTCTCTCTCTCTCTCTCTCTCTCTCTCTCTCTCTCTCACCCTCCTCATACCGAGTTTCTACAAAAACCTCTTTTACCTCATTTTTGCTTAACCCTCAGGTGTGTATATACACATACCGCATTTCATCATACAAACCACTCTAGCTCCTCATTTTCATCGAAAAGTTCCAAGCAGATTACATCGGCGATACCTTAAGTTTCGTTGAAGAAGAAGCGATGAGGAGCAAATCTCCTCCCTTCCTCACTCACCCTTCATCGTCGGTACTAATTGACTAGCATCGTTCATCACTCTCATTTACTCACTTCTGTTTTACTTAGCAAGTTAAGCCGCTAAAATCTCACTCCCACATCTCAACTTCAGTCTAACCACCTTAGCAATTCTCCTTTAACCTGTCTCCACCCCTTTATTTTTTCCCTCTCCTCCGAATCGTACCCTCTCACTCGCATGTGCATCCACTGCTTTCTCCTGCGAGAGCAACCATGCCATTTTACCACAAACTATCTTACCTCCTTGATATCGAGTTACGCATGATATTTCTCCATTTCCCACTGGGGTGCATTCGCGAATGTCATTTTTTCTCACTCTTATTAGTCCTTACTAACCATATTCTTTCGTGGTTTTACTTCGCTCTCTTTGTGCTAGTTATAGCCACCGGGCTTCGGAATTTCAGGCTAATTGTAAATTATATTATATTATATTATATTATAACTCTTCTCGTGACTGGGTTTAGTTTTCTTTCCATTTCTTCGGAATGTTCATTCTTAATGTAAGTCGACTATGCAACAGATAAATTCAATACTTGACGACAAAAAAAATGTTGGGACTGTTTTAAATAAATATCTTAAACCAACGAGACGTCACAACTTACTGAGGGACATAAATTATACACCACAATAATGCGAAAAAAATATTGAATGTTTTAAATTTTGTTCATGGGTCTCTCTCTCTCTCTCCCTCTCTTTCTGTGTACATTTTGGCGGGGTGAATCGACAAGTTGGAGGAATATCATAGCCAAAGCAAAGTCTGTATGAGAACTGTGGAGGAAATGTGGTTTTTGTTATTGAATCGTTGGCTGTTTGTTTGCCGGAGCTATGGGTGCACAACAAAAATCAGTAAAAAAAAAAACAAATCAAACAATAACAGAGGGAATATTATTCCCTCTGTGATAGTGATGTATATTTTACCATTGTCGATTTCCGTTAATAATGCCGTTACAAATGTCGATAATCTCGACTCTTGCATACGGCGAAAGAGAACGAGGAAAAAAAGAATAAGAATATCGTCGCCACGCGACCACGATTCCTACGGGAAGTTACGCAACGATAAAGGAATACATAACAAACGTTCCCCTGATTCGCCTTCATTTGGGTTTACTCTTTCTCTCTCTAAATAATATCGTTTCACACATCTCAATCACTTTCCCCGTGCACACTAGAAGAGAAATCGTTCTCTTCCATTATAACTATACAATTCTTATTTACATTGTGTGCATTGTTGTATTCGTAAAAATAAATCATATGAATATTGGTTTCTCCCCTTGTGAAAGGGGACAACCGATTTTCATCCATATATTTCTGTCCTCTTGACGCGGAAAAGCGAAAACAAAAAAAATGAAAGCAAGGAGAAAAACAAAAAGAGGAACATTGTTGTTTTTTCACCGACCGTTGGTTATATAACACAGAACGTTAATTGAGATTGACTGTTGAACAAAGAGTTGCGCACATATATCATTAATTAAATCAATTTCGCGAGAAAATTCAGTCTTTTAGTATCGAGGGTCGTCTGATCGTCTTCGAACGACAGAAAAAAAATGCACACACAGACAGCAATGCACCCTTTTACAAACGGCCTCCATTATTTTTCATATACAAAAATGAGTGAATGGTCCTGGGAGTTTTGGGAATAAAACTAGAACGAGTTGAAGATGAATTCAATGAATTTTCTGCTAGCAGAAATGGAAAGGAAATTGAATTCGTTTTCTCGATTTACTCGCATATTCCAATTTGTCGGCCTGTGGAGCCACGTGTGTTTTCAGTTTATTCTCGCTACTATTCCCAGAGATTTATTCACTTGCCACTCGCCCCGTGGACTCCCCCATTCACATCAAGGAGTTCTTCTTCTTCTCCATCTTCTCGATTTTTTTTCTTCCTGGGTACATTGTGTGTCACTTGTAAACGAATGAGACTTGGTAGTGTTGCCGGACCAGCCCGCGCAGACTCAACCAAGCGACCAATTGCCATTTCTCCATGAGAACACTCGACCGCTCTCATATACTTTTTGTTACATCTTGTTGCTCCTCCCGCCGCCCCTCAATTTACCTCCATCACTTGGCTCTCGTCCTTGGATGTCTCTTTGGTACTTGTTCTCTAATATTTTAGAATTCTCTAGCCGCTCCATCATCATCACGCCACCAATCGTCATGATCCCTCGCCTCTCAAGAGATTGCAATTATTTGGCTTTAAATCTCTAGAGCAACGTGTCCACTGGACACCGCTGGAGAAGACCAATTATTTGACACTTTGCACGTAGCTTCGCGTTACGTATGCCTAGGTACGCCATACGCGAAGCTAACCTCACGTCATGGATAATCCGGATGCATGAGATTGTACATAACTGCGAATATTGTGCAAGCTGCGTAAACACCAAGTGCAACCCACCACAGTAGTTGCTCGTGCAGGCGTTGCTCAAAATTTTTAAGCACGAGGAGGCCAATTGTCAGACCGGCCAGTGCACCCGTCAGGTGTGCCACGTAGGAGACAGGTGGGCCCATCTGTTCGGCCGCATACCTGTCGTAGATTGCAAAACCAACGTCAGCGCTCGCTGAAACACAAAAGTATAAGGGCCAAAGTTATTTTCATGATTCCTAAATTAGTTGTGGAATAGTTTTCGAGAGATTAAGTCATTATCATATTATTTTCACAGCGAATTAGTATGGATTTCAGCTTTTGCTGTTTTGCAGTTGCTCTGTTCAGTAATTGAACAATTACTCCTAATTTCCACTAAATTTTTAAAGTCATTTGTTATTCAAATTCTCTCACACGCTTATCCTTCAAATCGTTATTAGTATTTCAAATAATCCGGTCACGTCTACCTCCTCCCCCTTCTTTTACCGATGCTGAAATGAAAATGAATTACTCCCTTATAATTATATCCACAATCAGTAGAGCCCGGTTTAACCACATAATTTCCCTGCAAAACCAGAGGGAGAGTAATTTCATGATAATGAAACGAGTAGACTAGCACAACGATGGAACAAATCGCACCGATTTCCCGATATATACCTGATAATATAAACCCCTCGCGAATTAAGGGTAAGAGAGTGGAGAGAGGGAGTTGGAATGGAGGCCTCGATAATCGCTGAGTCTGTGGCCCCTGGGGCGGACGCGGCTCACCACACCGCGGGAGGCTTTACGGGTTGAGACAAATGCCAGGGGGAGGGAAATCGAAGATAAGCGAGAGGAAAGCTCTATCCACCTCTCCAAGTATTACCCACTCTCTCTGCTATACGCCGCAGAGGATTAAACCTTGCCTCTCCCTCTCCCTCTCGCAATAATACTCCGGGACTAACGCCACTCAATTACACCAGACAGGTATGATAAGCCTCGGTGCCTACCCTCGTGGGTTCATATCGTGAAAACTCGATGAATGCCCCCTTTTTCCTCATTTATTTTCCGTCTTCTACTTCTATCACTATCGTCTTCTCTTTCTATCCTCCCTCTGTTTCATAATCCCTTTGAATTTTCCCCAATGCCACTATCTATATAAATTTTCCCTAGACGACGTATTCCTCATCACCTCGTAAAACGAAAACACCTGGGGAGACTTGAAGTGTCACTCTGAGGACTCAGAATGAAGGAGGTGGAATGTGTACGCAAGTTGATAGTTTAGAAAAAAAAGGTTATTTCTGGTATGTATACAGTGGTGGGTGAGGGTAAATGAAAAGATGCAGGAATGGAAGGAGAGAGGGGCGAAAGTTCTCTAAAACCTCTATAAAAGGGGAGAAAACTATCTTTCCCCTTTTCACTCGTTCGTCGTTTGCTCCGTCCAACCGGAGATCCTATCTATTTCCATTACAAGCCGGACATCGCGCTCGGTGACGCGTTCTGCGAGCGATTTATACCTCAGGACCGCCGTATATCCGGTCGGAATGACCTCCGAATGTCTCTCGCTCTCTCTCATTCCCGTGGTTGCATTTTTCAGTTTTTTTTTTATTTCTCTTAGTCTCTCTCGGTGTGTTCGTTTCTATCATCACAAAAATCTAAAATGCCCGGGCATCGCCGACACGGCAAACTGCTCCGTCGATTTTAACAGGCGCCAGTCTCCCCACCTTCTCACTCCCACGAATACATTCAACTCCCTTGAAGAGAATGGGCTACATAGCAAATTGCCACTGTTCTCCCTATCTTTTAATTAAAAAATTCCATGGGTAAACGTCGTTCATATTCTATTTTTAAAATAAAAGGGAGAGACTGGGGAACGGAATGAATGAACTCATGTGAATGAGGGAAAATCGGAATTTTTTTCCTGTCTATGGTCATTGGGGGTGGAAAATATTTGTTAATAATTTAGTGAAATTTGTGGGTTTTATTCTACTCTATTTCTTAGAGCTCTTGAGATATTTTAATATACAGTAATTTTGAGGAGGAGATGAATTGTTTTGAATGACTAATAGTCGTATTCATATCGTTTCTACTATTATCAAAATAAAAAGGGGGTGGTGAGAGAATAAATTCATATAAACCTCCTTGACCAAAAATCTGTATTTTGTTTCATTCAATATGGTGACTTTGACTGTGGAAAGTATTTTTCAATTATTGAATGGAATTCATGGAAGGAGAAATTCCAATTATCCCATAGTACAAATGTTGTTTTTTTGAATACCTGAGAATTTGAGAGACGATTGTTGTAGGGGAGGGTAGGGCAAAACGGACCAGGTGGGAAAAACGGACCACTGACAGAAAATTGATAATTTTGACGTGGATACGTCTATGTTTTCGTTTTGAGGGGCATTTTCTGCATAGGTAGATATTTACTAACGCCATCTGTTGGTGTATAGGGAAACTAAGTCGGTAAGTATGGAATCCAGTTTACCGACTGTCATTAAACGTGGACTTGGGTTGAAACGACGTTTATAGTACGTTTCACGTGGTGATAAGTAGAACAGAGATATAGTAGAGCTGGTGAAAGAGTTCCACTGGGAATTGTAGGTTATGCATCGAGCTCTCATTGTCCAATACACCTCTCAGTGGAACAATCTCGCCAGTCCTACTGTACATGTAAACAAACATTCTCACGCAGTTCTCACACATTAAAGTGTTCCCTTAAGACTTTAATTTTCTAATTTCCCGAGCATATACGTAACATAGACGTATCCACGCAAAACTTACGGCTGTATCAGCGATACAGCCAACCAGGATTTTTTTAAAATAGTTTTTGCTTCCGAATGGAAGCCAAAACAAAAATTCAAAATCATTTGTGGTTTGGGGTGATTAACAAATCTGACCAAATTGCGGTTTAACGACACTTGCTCCCTATAAAACGCTTGTAACTGTTATGATCCTGAAACTCACTTTTAATTCAACACATTCAGTGTTCCTGATTTGAAGGAAAGCAAAAAAAAAGACCAATTTTCTGTCAGTGGTCCGTTTTGCATTGCGGTCCGTTTTGCCCTACCCTCCCCTAGCTAATATTTACAATCGATACAAAATGGAAAGGAGAGGGTGGGAGAGAAAACAAATGAACCTCGTCGAATAAAAATCGGGATTTTTAAAATTTGTTGTTATTAAGGGTGGAAAATATTTTTCAATCATTGAATTAAAGTCATGGAGAGATTCACAAAGAGAATGCAGGTATAATCATTCCAATTAGTTGAGAAAATCGGTGTGGTTTCATTTGTTGCACGATAGACGAGAAATTTTTTTTCATTTATTGAAAAGAATTTATAAAAAATGTTGACACTGCTGCTACGTTCACTTCGTGGCGAAACCCTTTTTGAAAGTAAAAGATGTGTGTCTCCCATATTGATGTTAGGGGTGTGCACGAGACTCAGCTGAGACTAGACAAAAGTTCACTTTAGAGTGATCGTCTCGGTCTAAAAAAACATACAAATTTTGGGACAGTTTCAGTCTCGAAATGCCTAGTATCGTCTCCTCTGGGTCACGAGTCGGAGAGAATTTATCTTGCCACAGTGTCCACTTTTTTCGGTTTTTGCTTCCGAATGGAAGCTTTGTAAATGCGATTTTTTGATTCTCTAACTTTGCTTGGGCATCACTCACATATCATGAAATGATAACTTCCGAAAAAAATTTGGTGAGATTGTAGCTCTTACAGTATTACAGGATGGGATTGTGGGTAGGTGAAATTGGATAAGTGGTTTAGAAGATTTATTATGATGGCTTCCGGGTGGATGCCGCGTCTAGATTCAGCTTTTTGCCGACGTTTCGCAAACATTTCAGTCTGCATCATCAGGGCTAGGTTGCTCCGATACTGAAGCTCCCCGTTGTAAGGAAGTCCTTATATACCCCCTGACCCCTGGAGGGGGTAGGTAGAGTGGTGGGGGGTATCCCAGCCAATCAAGATGTTTTTAATTGAGCTGGTCAATTGAAAACATCTTGATTGGCTGGCATCTTGGTTTAGAAGATATTCAACTGTTTGTGAAAAACTGTTTTGCTCAAAATCTTCCAAACTACTGGTCCGATGATTTTTTTTTCAAAATCCTCACCTTGCTGCCCCTTATCAAGATCAATCAAAGTATGAATACCCGTTCATACGAAGTTTTTGAGATATCCGCGTTTTTCTAATTTTTTCATTTGAAAGTTAATGTAGCGCGTCATAATACGCCCAAAATTTGGAATAAACATCTGAGATTCCGGCTACTAATTGGTATTATTGAATCACACTTGTGGATAAAATTTTTGTGCCGATCGATTCAATACATCCTGGGACAGAGCAATTCATGCAAAAATCTATTTTTATAAAAAGTCATACATCGTCATTTTATCCATCGATGTCATACATCGTCCTCTGGGGGCTTACTCTCGACTTGTGTGAATACGGATTCAGGTGTCAACGAGACTTCGTTAACAGATTGCACAGAGTAATCATACATCAGGCGATCCGTGAACGGAGGCGCATTCACACACGAATCCGTTTTTACGCAACTCGAGAATAAGCCTCTAGACTTATTTAAAAAGTCCTATAATAAAAATTTATGTTTTAACGATGAAAGCGGGAATCAACGTAGAAAAAGAAAATATAAGGAACATTTTTCCTGGAAAGTATTTTCTAATAACGACTTTCAATGGAACATTCATCCATTTGGAAGATTATTACTATAGGTATTGGTAGAGAGAGAACGAAAAAAGAATAATAACGCATAAAGTCACCAGGGATGCGAAAAAAATGACATGAGATGTCACTGACCGGTTATATGACACGTCAGTAACGGTCATGTGATAGGGCCAACCATCACAATCTGTCATCACGTCCCAAAAACGACCCTCATAAACTTTTTTTTAAGGTACTTATGCTACCTTTTTCGCACATTGGCTGGAAAATAACTGTCAACATTTTCTTTTAAAAAAAAGACATTAACAGGAAATTTGGTCATATTCATTTGGTCATATTCAACTCTACCATTCGTTAATAGTTAACGAATCTTGTTTGGAATAAATGAATCATTTTATCAGTGCATGAACGTTGAACCATTCACTCCTGAAGAACGAATTCTGTTCATTTTCAAGTCATTTTTCTGCTAATTGCGTAGGAGGAAGCACCAACACGCTTGATTGTTTGCAAACATAGCATTAGTGAAAAAATCA